ACACTTGCTCGATTCATGTTTACCTGAAACTTTACTTAATATATTTGATGAAATATGGACAACCGGACATTTCCCTCTTTCGTGACACAATGCTATTATCATTCCTATACCAAAGCCTGGACGGGATCACACATATCCATTCAATTATCGTCCAATATCATTAACTAGCTGTGTTTGTAAAACCATGGAGCGCATGGTCCAATCTCATTAAAATCAGATCTTAGTTTTCGCTACCGCTAAAGAAAGATCTGAGGACATCCCATTACAGGTCACGTCAGAACGACGTTTCGCGAATTTTGACCGACCGATGAAATGACCGACAAGAAATTGACATTAGCCAATCAGAAGGCAGCTTTCTCGAGCTTTACGACACTAGTTTCAAACTGGCGTGTGCGCTTCAAAATATATTTTGACGTATTCTCGATTAAAAAAAATTAAAACTGATAAGAAGAACATTCTTGAATGGCTTATAGATGGCCTAGATTGTATGGATACAATCATTAAACCCGTAACTTAAAATGGCTTCAAGTTTTCTAAATCCAAAACAAACTATTCACTTTTGTCGTAAATAGAAACCTCACAAGGATCCAGATTTATCTTTAGATGATACTCCTATCAAGGTAGTAGAGGAGGCCAAATTCCTGGGCCTCATATTTGACCTTCATCTCACATTCTTACCACACATCAAATATCTCAGGGCAAAGTGCCTGAAGGCTCTCGACTTGTAAAAAGTCGTTTCAAATTCCGAGTGGGGAGGGGATCAGACCACCATTCTTCACTTGTACAGATCATTAATACCTTCCAAACTAGACTATGGTTCCATTGTCTATGGTGGAGCCTGCAAAAGCAATTTAGAAAAATTAGATACAATACACCATCAAGGCCTAAGACTCTGTCTCGGAGCTTTAAGGACCTCTCCCGTGAACAGTTTATATGTGGAGGCCGATGAACCTTCCCTTGAACAGCGCCGCATTAAACTTTCACTGCAATATATTACTAAATTGCATTCAAATAAATCAAATCCAGCATACAATTGCGTTTTCCACCCCCAATATGAAAAAGTAACTGAAATATGTCCACCACTTGGAATCAGAATTCAACCATACATCTAAAATAGATCTAAATATTATGTCATTCTCCGGACTTCTGTCTTCTCCTCCCTGGCAGATGGTGAAGCCAGAAGTAGACCTCACTCTAACCCAGCTGAAAAAGTCTGAAACGAATCCTTTCGTATATCAACAAGCATATAACCAATTACAGGTTCAAAATATAATTCTCACAGATCCATTTTTACAGACGGGTCCAATGATGGTGGGTTCTCCTCAAGAATCCCAAATAATAGTTCAATCTTCAGTGCTGATCTAAAAATTTCATCATCTTCTCTGGTTCGTTGTCTTGCCTTCATGCACTTTAAAGTGTCTCATCATATCACCCTATTATCCTAGACATTTTAGAACTATATAATGCGACATCATCTTTTGCTGGTTACCAAGTCATGTAGGCATAGCAGGTAACTCAAAAGCCGATGCTGCAGCTAAAGCCGCTCTTGACAAACCCGTACAGAGATTTCAAACCAACCATCAAGATTTATACTCGGGATCTAATCCAAAAAGTGGGACAGCCAGGTAAGAATCAATAACTTTCACGAATTTAAACCAACAAAACGGTCAAACCTTCTTGAGGTGGTCAGTGAAGACATAATGAGGTCGTTTTACGACGATGTCGTATTGGCCACAGTCGGTTTACCCACGAATACTGCTTAAGTGTATCCCTTGTGATGAAAGGTTCACCGTCAAGCATATATTGCTTGACTGTGTGGACTTTGCAATCGCAAGGGATTCACATTATCAAAGCTTAAAACTGAAAGATCTCTTTTCCTGTGTAAGCGAGCGTTAAATTTTCAGATATGTCAAAGAAATTGGTCTGTATAAAAATAAAAATAAATATGTATTGGGTTATTTAATTGCTTGTTTTCAAATTTGGTGTGGTGGTTTTATCAACAAAGATTATCGAAGGCTCTGTCCAGGAGGTTAAAGTACCCTAAAATAATTGTTCCCCTGTGTGACACGTAATCCTATCATAATCGATGTAACTAACATCAACCACTATTTTAAGCCAACTCATTGCTGAATATATTCTAAGATTGTCTAAGATTGTGCACAGCCACCAGTGGCTAAAGTGATGACGTAATTCCTGCTGGGGTATCATGCAGGAAGCTGAGGTACTGTAAGTCCCCATGATCCCCAGCGAGGTGGCCTAGCTTTGGTTACTGGTGGCCTATAGCCCGTGTTTTAAAGCTATATAAATGATATGGTTATGCCTTAATATGTTTTATAAATTGTTTTTAAATATAACTTTGTATTCATGAATGAATTGTGTATTTATTACATAAAAGATCATAAAATGTTACTTTTTAATGTGTGACGTGGATAATCTTTTGTCACGCCACAGCTGAGGGAAGACCTTGCCCCCTCGACTGAACATCAATTGATATTGATTACATTTATATCTTTTACAGATAATAAATGCTTTTAAACCATCTTCATCGCCTCAGTCCTCTAAATTACATCGTTGGCAAGGACCCGCGACAAGTTTGACACAGGATGCTTAGATATATGAGTCAAATACAGTTATAACTACGGTTATAACGAACTCAAATGGGCCACAAATTTTAGTTCGTTATAACCGTTGTTCGTTATAAGCATATATACAACATCTATACAGCAAATGGCCGGGACCAAAAATTAAGTTCGTAATATGCGTCAGTTCGTAATAAGCGTGTTCGTTATAAACGAGAGTCAGAGTCAACTATGCCACGACTTGACTCTGCAACACGCAATATCTCCATAGGCCGACTTCAAACTGGAGAGTCACAGAGGTCAGTTGACCCCCGTCAAAATGTCAGCCAGAGGACAGTTTCACGTCTCGTTGTATGATTTAAACATACCGTCCACGTACCGGCCGCCCACGAGTCACTACACCCGCCCAAGATCAGCATTTACATGATCTGACTGTCACGGCCGAACACACAGCTGCCAACGTGCCAGGACTGTGAAGGATATCCGCCCAGACTGTACGGAATCGTCTTCGCAAGGTTGGATTGAGAACCAGAAGACCTTACTTTGGCTAAGTCTTACGACGTCATCAGCGCCTCCAACGCGTTCGTGGCCAAGTAGTCTAAGGCACCGCAATTCGTGGGTTCGAATCCCGTTTCGCCCCGATTATGTTTCTAGGTCAGCACCATACCCGTGCTCGTTGGTTACACCGAAGTGGTAAACGTCTGAGATCTGCATCACTTCGGGCTTTCCTCCCACATCAAGCAGACACGCCGTGATATAACTGGAATACTGTTAAAAACTACGGTGTCATATTAGGTTAGACACCGGGCAACTAAAGACACCATAAGGATTTTATCAAGCCGAAAAGTTTACACTCTCTGGTATCCATATCACACGTGTCATGCCAAAATGAAAACTTGACAAATTACAACCGTACGTTGACGTTAAGGGTCAAAGGGAGCCTACTCTTCAAACCTTAGAGGCCAAACTTTGTTGAAAATTTAAACGATAATCTTTAACAATAAAGTCACGAACGTGATCTACAAAACAGATTAATGTCCTTGCACATCACAATTAATGATAGTAAAACACAAAAAAGTGTCAAATAACGAATTTCGGTACCAGAATTTCCATATGAAATATGAGAGGTGGGTGTTTGAAAATCCAAAATGGCTGTTACTGACGGTAAACGGTCTCATATTAGGTCAGTATCAACCATCTTGGATGAAATATGTTTCAAATGGAACTAATAGGGCATTAAAGCAACATCATATGCCACACCAAACCAGGATGTTGATTCAGGTGTCGTGGACATAAAAGAGCACATCATGGCCAACAAACACATTAGATCTGACAAACTGAATATCACAACAGCAGAAAGTATTTTCCTAAAAAACCCATCTAAAGCATTGGATAAGAATGACAAGAAGTAACATTAACGTTTTATTATGTTTTCTTTGGTATCTAGGCTATTTTCGCCGGAAAAGGTTTAAAAATCGGTTTCCAGCAATTTTGATTCCCTTTCTATATCTACTAAGTGTGGAAACATCTTCCTTCAGGAGACTCTCTCTTTCCTCATCTCTAACATTCTGCGCTCTCACCTCCAGATGGGTTAAATACCGGTCCTCCGCTACTGTTTCTTCAACCTTTTTTCTTTCAGTCAGTACATGTGCGAGTTCTTCCTCAGCATCTTTGATTTGCTGAAAAAGTGAATCCCTCTCCGGACCATGGCTATTGCGTAACTGTGAAGCCATTTTGTACTTCTTTGACTTGATCTCCATTCCCCTCCGCACCGTCGCTTCCAACTCTTTCTCGTTGTCTCTCCTGGATACATGATGGTCGGCCGGGTTATCGTGTATGTCCTTCGGCTGCCGCTTCAGATCTTCCATCTCTAGCTTCTGATGTTCTATCTGTTTCAAGTTTTCTTTTAGTTGATCCCTATAAGACTCCTTTTCTTCTCTGATCTTGTTTTCCATTTCTTCTCTCAGTTTTATCTTAATTTTCTTCCTCATCTTTTCTTCCTTCGTTTTCATCACAGCAACTGCGCTTTGAATCCGACGTTGCATAATTTCTTCAGCTTGCAAAAACATAGAGGAAGAAAAAGAAACTTTCCCCGTTCTTCTGTACCATTTCCTGAATACGCTGAAGGAGGAAAGTAACATCCTTTTCCCGAGCCTCTTCTCCACCTTTGTTCAATGGACACATAGCCGCCACCAACACTCTGCAGTATGTGCTTCAGTGTATCGGGAGCAGTTTCAAGATACTCCTTGACAGATTCTCCCTCACCAAGGTCATCTTTTCTCGGGAAGACGATTATCAAATATTTGTGCATTTGATCTCCTAATATATCATCAATTTCATCGAAGACTTTTTTATCTTCTTCTGTGAATCGCTGCGTTAAGGAAATCACTAATAAAAATGCGTGTGGCCCAGGAGCGGAGATGGCAATACATTTCTTTATTTCCTTATCAACGACGTCTCTTTCCATGTTGGTGTCAAACATCCCTGGTGTGTCGACAACTTTTCAGCATATACGGTGTCTAACCTAATATGACACCGTATACAGCAACTAAAGACACCATAACGAATTTATTATGCCAAAAAGTTTACACTATCTGGTATCCATATTACATGTGTCATGTCAAAATGAAAACTTGACACTAACCGTACGTTGACGTTAAGGGTCAAAGGGAGCCTACTCTTCAAACCTTAGAGGCCAAACCTTGTAGAAAATTTTAACGATAATCTTGATCAATAAAGTCACGAACGTGATCTAAAAAACAGATAAATGTCCTTGCACATCACAATTAATGATAGTAAAACACAAAACAGTGTCAAATAACGAATTTCAGAACCAGAATTTCCACGTGAAATATGAGAGGTGGGTGTTTAAAAATCCAAGATGGCTGTTACTGACGGTAAACGGTCTCATATTAGGTCAGTATCAAACATCTTCGATTTTTACTGACGGTATACGGGCTCATGTGGGGTCAGTAGTTCTGCTCTCTGATTGGTCAATCTCACTTTGAGGCATAATAATACGAAATATGTTACAAATGGAACTAATAGGGCATTAAAGCAACATCATATGCCACACCAAACCAGGATGTTGATTCAGGTGTCGTGGACATAAAAGAGCACATCATGGCCAACAAACACATTAGATCTGACAAACTGAATATCACAACAGCAGAAAGTATTTTCCTAAAAAAACATCTTCCAATCTTTTACCTCAAAGCTAAAGCATTGGATAAGAATGACAAGAAGTAAATTTAACGTTTTCATAATGTTTTCATTGGTATCTAGGCTATTTTCGCCGGAAAAGGTTTAAAAATCGGTTTCCAGCAGTTTTGATTCCATTTCTATATCTACTAAGTGTGGAAACATCTTCCTTCAGTAGACTCTCTCTTTCCTCCTCTCTTACAATCTGCGCTCTCACCTCCAGCTGGGTTAAATACCGGTCCTCCGCAACTGTTTCTTCAGCCTTTTTTCTTTCAGTCAGTACATGTGCGAGTTCTTCCTCAGCATCTTTGATTTGCTGAAGAAGTGAATCCCTCTCCCGACCACAGCTGTTCGGTAACTGTGAAGCCATTTTGTTCTTCATTGACTTAATGTCCATTTCCCTCTGCACCAACGCTTCCAACACTTTCTCGTTGTCTCTCCTGGATACATGATGGTCGGCCGGGTTATCGTGTATGTCCTTCGGCTGCCGCTTCAGATCTTCCATCTCTAGCTTCTGATGTTCTATCTGTTTCAAGTTTTCTTTTAGTTGATCCCTATAAGACTCCCTTTCTTCTCTGATCTTGTTTTCCATTTCTTCTCTCAGTTTTATCCTAATTTCCTTTCTCATCTCTCCTTCCTTCGTTTTCATCACAGCAACTGCGCTTTGAATCCAACATTGCATAATTTCTTCAGCTTGCAAAAACATAGAGGAGGAAAAGAAACTCTCCCTGTTCTTCTGTACCATTTCCTGAATACGCTGAAGGAGGAAAGTAACATCCTTTTCCCGAGCCTCTTCTCCACCTTTGTTATTGAAGGACACATAGCCGCCACCAACACTCCCCAGTATGTGCTTCAGTGTATCGGGAGCAGTTTCAAGATACTCCTTGACAGATTCTCCCTCGCCAAGGTCATCTTTTCTCGTGAAGACGATTATCAAATATTTGTGCATTTGATCTCCAAATATATCATCAATTTCATTGAAGACTTTTTTATCTTCTTCTGTGAATCGCTGCGTTAAGGAAATCACTAATAAGAATGCGTGTGGCCCGGGAGCGGAGATGGCAATACATTTCTTTATTTCCTTATCAACGACGTCTCTTTCCATGTTGGTGTCAAACATCCCTGGTGTGTCGACAACTTGGATGACGAGGCCGAAGGTCTCCCGGTTGGCATATTGGCTTACTTCTGTCACAGACTGGAACGATGAACTCGACTTGAAAACATTTTCATTCAAAATTGTGTTTGCTGTTGCACTTTTTCCCGATCCTGTTTTGCCCAAAAGTACAAGTCTCAAGACGTTTTGGCTTGTAAAATAAGATAAATAATACCTAGTATCCTAAAAGTATTTACCTTCAAAAACTGGAATGGAAATTCTCAGCATTTACTAAGAAATACACAACCTACTTTATAATCTTTAAGACCGCCTCCGTGGTCTAATGGTAGAGCGTCCGCCCGGAGAGCGGAAGGCCCGGGGTTCAATCCCCAGCCGCGTCATACCAAAAGACGTTAAAAGATGGTACTTGTTGTTACCTTGCCTGTCGCTCGACATTAAGGGGCTAAAACAAGGACTGGTCGGCTCGGAGTCAGTATACTGTGTCTGAGTGGGGTATCAATGTTAAACTGCTGTATGGTATCTCAGTGAGCTAGCACTATAAATCGGCATCAGTCCGGACTAGTACAAGCAGCCACACACAAACATACACGTGAAAGCACGTCACTATATAAGTGCAATAATCTTGGACGCGACGTTTCACCTCACCACCTTATAATCTTCAATGATAGAATGTGTTTGTTTGTTGTTTATCGCCGTACTCAGCAATATTCCAGCTATATGACGGCGGTCTGGAAATAATCGAGTCTGGACAAGACAATCAAGTGATTGGCAATGAGTATTGATCTGTGCATTTGGGAAACGATGACATGCATTACCCAAGTCAGCGAGCCTGACCACCAGTCAGTCGCCTCTTATGACAATCATAGTCACCTCTTACGGCAATCATGGGCTGAAGACCTATTTTAATCCGGATCTTCACGGGTCTATTTCAAGTGGCGAGGACTATCGATAGTATCTGTTTATTACGAAACTTTGTTTCTGTTTTAGCAAAGTAAGACGGTGACGTTTCACTATTACAATATCCTCTTATTGAATAGGGCGGTCGGGTAGCCTAGTGGTTAAAGCGTTCGCTCGTCACGCCAAAGATCCGGGTTCGATTCCCGACATGGGTACAATGTGTGAAGCCCATTTCTGGTATCACCGGCCGTGATATTGCTGGAATATTGCCAACAGCGGCGTAAAACCATACTCACTATTAATGAATATACCCAAAGCACAAGTCGTCCGGGTTTAATTTTGTCTGTTATCTTTCGAGGAGTAAATGACATAAGGTGTTGTGTTGTCTGTAGTGTTTTATCTAACTAGGCCTGGCTTAACGATAAGAGACCGCCATATTACAGACAAACAACTCATACGTAATGGTGATATTATTAATTTTACATTTAAAAGGAAACAATCAAACTGTACCTTTGGGTTTTTTTTCTGTTTAACGCCGCATTCAGCAATATTCCAGCCATATAATGATCTGTAAATAATCAATTCTGGACCAGACAATCTAGTGACTGACATGCATCAACCAAGTCAGCGAGCCTGACCACCTGATCCCGTTAGTTGCACTTTAGGACAAGCATGGGTTCCCGAAGACCAATTCTAACCTGGATTTTCACTGGTATCAAATTGTACCTAATCTGCGCTGTGATTGAACTGCTGCTGAGATATTTACCTGGTAATGGTGGCTGTCTGCGTGGTTTAGGTACAGGGTTGACTAACGCTGCCATGCTGTCTGTGTCTCCGCTGTTCACCCTCAAGCCAACAGCAACGTCAGATTACGATCAAACTTAGTATCTAATCTACACAACTGCCATAGAATCATTCGTGACCAACTCGTGTTATTCCGAGACAAGCCAAATATTCTTGCAGGTTACGGAAAGGGCCTAGTGGTGACGAATGGATGCATTCGTGACCAACTCGTGTTATTCCGGGACAAGCCGAATCTTCTTGCAGGTAACGGAAAGGGGCGAGTGGTGACGAATGGTCATGATGATTGGTCAATCTCACTTTGAGGCATAATAATATGAAATATGTTACAAATGGAACTAATAGGGCATTAAAAGTGAAACAGAGTTAGTTTTTACACAAAAACTGATCAAAACCTAGAATGACGTTCGGGGAATTAGCCACGGGATCAACACACCTTCAAAGACAAACAGAGAGAGGTTCTCAGGCAAAGCAGGAATTCTTTATTAAATGTTTTCATCATCATCAAGCATATAGACATAATCAGACAATCTTCATCATCACCAAACACAAAGACATAATCAGACAAATAATTAAGCAGTAATACAAAAACTGTTAAGATATTCGTTGTTATATAATAGTAGGCATGAGTTAATAAACAATTGCTTGTTATGTGATTTCACTTTGAGAACAATGCATTAACTTCAGAGACGTCTCAGTACCTATTCAAGTTACAGCCTAATATAACATTGATAAGATTACGTAACACATTTATAATTAAAAATACCATTTGTAAAATAATAACAAAGTGTAAAGTGTAAGCTCTACTCATTGGATATTTATTTATATCATAGCAGTAAACATTTGATATAATGCAGACATTATAATCAACTCACATTAAATTACTCATTGATAATTACTCATAATGTTTGATATATATTTAAGGTACTCATAAATTACATCTGAACAAAGTTCACAAAAAGCATTCATATGAAAGATTATAACAACACCTTTCTTGAACAATGACATGTCTAATAACTTATTCTACGTTAAATACGGTACATGTGACGTCATGAACTATAGCTGATTCAGATGTACACTTCAGAGTTAAATAGTGAATACAAGATTTAATACGGTAAATAATAATGGGACCCGCATTCAATGACTGAATACACTATACTAAATTCTGAAAACAGCTATGCGCAAAATGGTTAAATACGGTACGTGCCGTCACTGCCGAGCGCTGGTGATTGCGCCGTTATGTAACAATGAGAGGTGCCGCCTGTGCATGCCGCGCTATGCGGGCCGAGCTTATACAAATCACACAGACTGAATACCTTGTTTGAAACTTGAAATATATATGAATTAAAACTGATTATTAGTGAACATATATTCTATTGTGAATGTTTATGGACCTTATTGGAGATTTCGCTAAAACAGAGAAATTGCTTGTGAACTGTAATTTAGAAATGGATATAAACACTGCGTTAGGAAAGCCTGTTTCATTATAACTATTCTACAACATAAAACTACTACGTTATCTGTAGCGTCCAAATCATGCTTAAAGTATAGTATCTGAGATATTCTACTCATCGTCCATTCATCTTACCGAATGGAAATAATATGCATCATTTGGAAAACATAAATTCATTAGGCATTGCTTAATTTGCGTGCATTTATCTAGAACAAAAAGTTACGTTCAAGTATTGTAGTCTAGTGATATGCCCTCACAAAGTAGTTACCTAATAAGAAATATATTTTGGGCTACAGATAAGAATAATATACTTTGCTGTGCTTGCACTGATCTGGTTTTGTATATAAAGAATATATTTGATGCATGAACATCGGATATAGGTTATATTCTAGAACCGTATTTATCAGGCATAAGAACGCAAACAAATATACATAACGTAAATGATATCGAGTAACTGGATAATGTTAATGCATATTGACACATTTAACGTTGTTGCATTATAAAACCACTCTACTAACGATACAGCGTACAATAAGGTAAATAACACGACACACATATGGATACTGGTCCTACCGATACACGGACAAATAATTCATACATTATTATAATGCACTCTATTCACATTGAAACATGATAATTATGAAGTATCCACAACATCTGTGATTAATAATCATTTGCCTAGTAGTTTTAACCCGATAAATAAACATGTGGGATACGAACGCTGATTGTGGAATAGTAATATTTCTACATCAGACGCACGCATATAAATTACTGTAGTTAATTTGTGTCAGAAAAACTTGAATGATATGCAGCTTAGATTCGAACGGCATTTCGAATACATAGAGTATAAGTTCATTGTTCAAGCAAGATATTCATACAAAATTAAAGACAAGTTTAAAAGACAATTTTAAGCAAAGTTCAACCTAAATGGCAAAGTAACAAGTAAAAGCGACTTACCTTCAAAGACAAACAGAGAGAGGTTCTCAGGCAAAGCAGGAATGACTAACAGTCGATTTCCCCCTATATTTATACCTGAGACCTCCTTTGTTAATCTGAAGGCAAGTCTACATGTGCATGTCCAGTTTGAAATTTGAGACTTTGGACTAATAAAGACTGGACATGTTATACAATTTTGTATAATGGTTTTGGGCTGTTAATAGCCAAAGCAGACGGTCAGTTTGGAGAGTTGAGTAATAGAAGATTATAAATGCCGATAGAATCACTCAGCTCATGTTTTGGTTTCGCGTTTTCAATTTTCTAGTTTGGTCAGTTGCCGCTAAATAGCTGATAACGGTACACTGGCAAGTGCCGAACGCGCTGACCACTACCAGTTGTTATTCAAGATCTAATTAAAGTTTCGCCCACCGACCTGTTTGTGGCAGCGTAAATCTGAAGTGCCAGATGTTGTTATACAATTTCTTATTGCTAGTATGTACTGACAGGTCTTAAATGGTTAACCGACAACTTATAAATTGAAGGCGAATTTCACAAAAAGTTGAATAAAATATAGCAATTTTAGCACTGTTACAAAAGCAAGATCATGTGCCGAACCAAACCAGGATGTTGAATTAGGTGTCGTGGACATAAAAGAGCACATCATGGCCAACAAAGACATTAGATCTGACAAACTGAATATGACAACAGCAGTAAGTATTTTCCTAAAAAAATCATCTTCCAATCTATTACCTCAAAGTTAAAGCATTGGATAAGAACGAGAAGAAGTAAATTAAACGTTTTCATAATGTTTTCATTGGTATCTATGCTATTTTCGCCGGAATAAGTTTAAAAATCGGTTTCAAGCAGTTTTGATTCCATTTCCATATCTACCAAGTGTGGAAACATCTTCCTTCAGGAGACTCTCTCTTTCCTCCTCTCTAACAATCTGCACTCTCACCTCCAACTGGGTTAAATACCTGTCTTCCGCTACTGTTTCTTCAACCTTTTTTCTTTCAGTCAATACATGTGCGAGTTCTTCCTCAGCATCTTTGATTTGCTGAAGAAGTGAATCCCTCTCCGACCATGGCTATTGCATAACTGTGAAGCCATTTTGTACTTCTTTGACTTGATCTCCATTCCCCTCTGCACCAATGCTTCCAACACTTTCTCGTTGTCTCTCCTGGATACATGATGGTCTGCCGGGTTATCGTGTATGTCCTTCGGCTGCCGCTTCAGATCTTCCATCTCTAGCTTCAGATGTTCTATCTGTTTCAAGTTTTCTTTTAGTTGATCCCTATAAGACTCCCTTTCTTCTCTGATCTTGTTTTCCATTTCTTCTCTCAGTTTTATCCTAATTTCCTTCCTCATCTCTTCTTCCTTCGTTTTCATCACAGCAACTGTGCTTTGAATCCGACGTTGCATAATTTCTTCAGCTTGCAAAAACAAAGAGGAAGAAAAGAAACTTTCCCTGTTCTTCTGTACCATTTCCTGAATACACAGGAGGAAAGTAACATCCTTTTCCCGAGCCTCTTCTCCACCTTTGTTCAATGGACACATAGCCGCCACCAACACTCCGCAGTATGTGCTTCAGTGTATCGGGAGCAGTTTCAAGATACTCCTTGACAGATTCTCCCTCGCCAAGGTCATCTTTTCTCGTGAAGACGATTATCAAATATTTGTGCATTTGATCTCCAAATATATCATCAATTTCATCGAAGACCTTTTTATCTCCTTCTGTGAATCGCTGCGTTAAGGAAATCACTAATAAGAATGCGTGTGGCCCGGGAGCGGAGATGGCAATACATTTCTTTATTTCCTTATCAACGACGTCTCTTTCCATGTTGGTGTCAAACATCCCTGGTGTGTCGACAACTTTTCGGCATATACGGTGTCTAACGTAATATGACACCGTATACGGCAACTGAAGACACCATAACGAATTTATTATGCCGAAAAGTTTACACTATCTGGTATCCATATCACACGTGTCATGTCAAAATGAAAACTTGACACTAACCGTACATGGACGTTAAAGGGTCAAAGGGAGCCTACTCTTCAAACCTTAGAGGCCAAACCTTGTAGAAAATTTTAACGATAATCTTTATCAATAAAGTCACGAACGTGATCTAAAACACAGATTAATGTCCTTGCACATCACAATTTATGATAGTAAAACACAAAAAAAGTGTCAAATAACGAATTTCAGTACCAGAATTTCCATGTGAAATATGAGAGGTGGGTGTTTGAAAATCCAAGATGGCTGTTACTGACGGTAAACGGTCTCATATTAGGTCAGTATCAACCATCTTGGATTTTTACTGACGGTATACGGGCTAATGTGGGGTCGGTAGATCTGCTCTCTGATTGGTCAATCTCACTTTGAGGCATAATAATATGAAATATGTTACAAATGGAACTAATAGGGCATTAAAGCAACATCATATGCCACACCAAACCAGGATGTTGATTCAGGTGTCGTGGACATAAAAGAGCACATCATGGCCAACAAAGACATTAGATCTGACAAACTGAATATCACAACAGCAGAAAGTATTTTCCTAAAAAAACATCTACCAATTTATTACCTCAAAGTTAAAGCATTGGATAAGAATGACAAGAAGTAAATTTAACGTTTTCATAATGTTTTCATTGGTATCTAGGCTATTTTCGCCGGAATAAGTTTAAAAATCGGGTTCCAGCAAATTTGATTCCTTTTCTATATCTACTAAGTGTGGAAACATCTTCCTTTAGGAGACTCTCTCTTTCCTCCTCTCTAACATTCTGCGCTCTCAGCTCCAGCTGGGTTAAATACCGGTCCTCCGCTACTGTTTATTCAACCTTTTTTCTTTCAGTCAGTACATGTGCGAGTTCTTCCTCAGCATCTTTGATTTGCTGAAGAAGTGAATCCCTCTCCCGACCATAGCTGTTCGGTAACTGTGAAGCCAATTTGTTCTTCTTTGACTTGATCTCCATTTCCCTCTGCACCAACGCTTCCAACACTTTCTCGTCTCTCCTGGATACATGATGGTCGGCCGGATTATCGTGTATGTCCTTCGGCTGCCGCTTCAGATCTTCCTTCTCTAGCTTCAGATGTTCTATCTGTTTCAAGTTTTCTTTTAGTTGATCCCTATAAGACTCCTTTTCTTCTCTGATCTTGTTTTCCATTTCTTCTCTCAGTTTTATCCTAATTTCCTTCCTCATCTCTTCTTCCTTCGTTTTCATCACAGCAACTGCGCTTTGAATCCAACATTGCATAATTTCTTCAGCTTGCAAAAACATAGAGGAAGAAAAGAAACTTTCCCCGACTTCTGTACCATTTCCTGAATACGCTGAAGGAGGAAAGTAACATCCTTTTCCCGAGCCTCTTCTCCACCTTTGTTATTGAAGGACACATAGCCGCCACCAACACTCCGCAGTATGTGCTTCAGTGTATCGGGAGCATTTTCAAGATACTCCTTGACAGATTCTCCCTCGCCAAGGTCATCTTTTCTGATGAAGACGATTATCAAATATTTGTGCATTTGATCTCCAAATATATCATCAATTTCATCGAAGACTTTTTTATCTTCTTCTGTGAATCGCTGCGTTAAGGAAATCACTAATAAGAATGCGTGTGGCCCGGGAGTGGAGATGGCAATACATTTCTTTATTTCCTTATCAACGATGTCTCTTTCCATGTTGGTGTCAAACATCTCTGGTGTGTCGACAACTTTTCGGCATATACCGTGTCTAACCTAATATGACACTGTATACGGCAACTGAAGACACCATAACGAATTTATTATGCCGAAAAGTTTACACTATCTGGTATCCATATCACACGTGTCATGTCAAAATGAAAACTTGACACTATCCGTACATGGACGTTAAGGGTCAAAGGGAGCCTACTCTTCAAACCTTAGAGGCCAAACCTTGTTGAAAATTTTAACGATAATTTTTATCAATAAAGTCACGAACGTGATCTAAAACACAGATTAATGTCCTTGCACATCACAATTAATGATAGTAAAACACAAAAAAAGTGTCAAATAACGAATTTCAGTACCAGAATTTCCATGTGAAATATGAGAGGTGGGTGTTTGAAAATCCAAGTTGGCTGTTACTGACTGTAAACGGTCTCATATTAGGTCAGTATCAACCATCTTAGATTTTTACTGACGGTATACGGGCTCATGTGGGGTCAGTAGATCTGCTCTCTGATTGGTCAATCTCACTTTGAGGCATAATAATATGAAATATGTTACAAATGGAACTAATAGGGCATTAAAGCAACATCATATGCCCCACCAAACCAGGATGTTGATTCATGTGTCGTGGACATAAAAGAGCACATCATGGCCAACAAAGACATTAGATCTGACAAACTGAATATCACAACAGCAGAAAGTATTTTCCTAAAAAAACATCTTCCAATTTATTACCTCAAAGTTAAAGCATTGGATAAGAATGACAAGAAGTAAATTTAACGTTTTCATAATGTTTTCATTGGTATCTAGGCTATTTTCGCCGGAATAAGTTTAAAAATCGGGTTCCAGCAAATTTGATTCCCTTTCTATATCTACTAAGTGTGGAAACATCTTCCTTTAGGAGACTCTCTCTTTCCTCCTCTCTAACATTCTGCGCTCTCAGCTCTAGCTGGGTTAAATACCGGTCCTCCGCAACTGTTTCTTCAGCCTTTTTTCTTTCAGTGAATACATGTGCGAGTTCTTCCTCAGCATCTTTGATTTGCTGAAGAAGTGAATCCCTCTCCCGACCATAGCTGTTCGGTAACTGTGAAGCCATTTTGTTCTTCTTTGACTTGATCTCCATTTCCCTCTGCACCAACGCTTCCAACACTTTCTCGTCTCTCCTGGATACATGATGGTCGGCCGGGTTATCGTGTATGTCCTTCGGCCCCCGCTTCAGATCTTCCTTCTCTAGCTTCAGATGTTCTATCCGTTTCAAGTTTTCTTTTAGTTGATCCCTATAAGACTCCCTTTCTTCTCTGATCTTGTTTTCCATTTCTTCTCTCAGTTTTATCCTAATTTCCTTCCTCATCTCTTCTTCCTTCATTTTCATCACAGCAACTGAGCTTTGAATCCGACATTGAATAATTTCTTCAGCTTGCCAAAACATAGAGGAGGAAAAGAAGCGTTCCCCGTTCTTCTGAACCATTTTCTGAATACGCTGAAGGAGGAAAGTAACATCCTTTTCCCGAGCCTCTTCTGTACCTTTGTTATTGAAGGACACATAGCCGCCACCAACACTCCGCAGTATGTGCTTCAGTGTATCGGGAGCAGTTTCAAGATACTCCTTGACAGATTCTCCCTCGCCAAGGTCATCTTTTCTCGTGAAGACGATTATCAAATATTTGTGCATTTGATCTCCAAATATATCATCAATTTCATCGAAGACTTTTTTATCTTCTTCTGTGAATCGCTGCGTTAAGGAAATCACCAATAAGAATGCGTGTGGCCCGGGAGCGGAGATGGCAATACATTTCTTTATTTCCTTATCAACGACGTCTCTTTCCATGTTGGTGTCAAACATCCCTGGTGTGTCGACAACTTGGATGACGAGGCCGAAGGTCTCCCGGTAGGCATATTGGCTTACTTCTGTCACAGTCTGGAACGATGAACTCGACTTGAAAACATTTTCATTCAAAATTGTGTTTGCTGTTGCACTTTTTCCCGATCCTGTTTTGCCCAAAAGTACAAGTCTCAAGACGTTTTGGCTTGTAAAATAAGATAAATAATACCTAGTATCCTAAAAGTATTTACCTTCAAAAACTGGAATGGAAATTCTCAGCATTTACTAAGAAATACACAACCTACTTTATAATCTTTAAGACCGCCTCCGTGGTCTAATGGTAGAGCGTCCGCCCGGAGAGCGGAAGGCCCGGGGTTCAATCCCCAGCCGCGTCATACCAAAAGACGTTAAAAGATGGTACTTGTTGTTACCTTGCCTGTCGCTCGACATTAAGGGGCTAAAACAAGGACTGGTCGGCTCGGAGTCAGTATACTGTGTCTGAGTGGGGTATCAATGTTAAACTGCTGTATGGTATCTCAGTGAGCTAGCACTATAAATCGGCATCAGTCCGGACTAGTACAAGCAGCCACACACAAACATACACGTGAAAGCACGTCACTATATAAGTGCAATAATCTTGGACGCGACGTTTCACCTCACCACCTTATAATCTTCAATGATAGAATGTGTTTGTTTGTTGTTTATCGCCGTACTCAGCAATATTCCAGCTATATGACGGCGGTCTGGAAATAATCGAGTCTGGACAAGACAATCAAGTGATTGGCAATGAGTATTGATCTGTGCATTTGGGAAACGATGACATGCATTACCCAAGTCAGCGAGCCTGACCACCAGTCAGTCGCCTCTTATGACAATCATAGTCACCTCTTACGGCAATCATGGGCTGAAGACCTATTTTAATCCGGATCTTCACGGGTCTATTTCAAGTGGCGAGGACTATCGATAGTATCTGTTTATTACGAAACTTTGTTTCTGTTTTAGCAAAGTAAGACGGTGACGTTTCACTATTACAATATCCTCTTATTGAATAGGGCGGTCGGGTAGCCTAGTGGTTAAAGCGTTCGCTCGTCACGCCAAAGATCCGGGTTCGATTCCCGACATGGGTACAATGTGTGAAGCCCATTTCTGGTATCACCGGCCGTGATATTGCTGGAATATTGCCAACAGCGGCGTAAAACCATACTCACTATTAATGAATATACCCAAAGCACAAGTCGTCCGGGTTTAATTTTGTCTGTTATCTTTCGAGGAGTAAATGACATAAGGTGTTGTGTTGTCTGTAGTGTTTTATCTAACTAGGCCTGGCTTAACGATAAGAGACCGCCATATTACAGACAAACAACTCATACGTAATGGTGATATTATTAATTTTACATTTAAAAGGAAACAATCAAACTGTACCTTTGTTTCTTCGTTGTGTAACGCCGCATTCAGCAATATTCCAGTCATATAATGATCTGTAAATAATCAATTCTGGACCAGACAATCTAGTGACTGACATGCATCAACCAAGTCAGCGAGCCTGACCACCTGATCCCGTTAGTTGCACTTTAGGACAAGCATGGGTTCCCGAAGACCAATTCTAACCTGGATTTTCACTGGTATCAAATTGTACCTAATCTGCGCTGTGATTGAACTGCTGCTGAGATATTTACCTGGTAATGGTGGCTGTCTGCGTGGTTTAGGTACAGGGTTGACTAACGCTGCCATGCTGTCTGTGTCTCCGCTGTTCACCCTCAAGCCAACAGCAACGTCAGATTACGATCAAACTTAGTATCTAATCTACACAACTGCCATAGAATCATTCGTGACCAACTCGTGTTATTCCGAGACAAGCCAAATATTCTTGCAGGTTACGGAAAGGGCCTAGTGGTGACGAATGGATGCATTCGTGACCAACTCGTGTTATTCCGGGACAAGCCGAATCTTCTTGCAGGTAACGGAAAGGGGCGAGTGGTGACGAATGGTCATGATGATTGGTCAATCTCACTTTGAGGCATAATAATATGAAATATGTTACAAATGGAACTAATAGGGCATTAAAAGTGAAACAGAGTTAGTTTTTACACAAAAACTGATCAAAACCTAGAATGACGTTCGGGGAATTAGCCACGGGATCAACACACCTTCAAAGACAAACAGAGAGAGGTTCTCAGGCAAAGCAGGAATTCTTTATTAAATGTTTTCATCATCATCAAGCATATAGACATAATCAGACAATCTTCATCATCACCAAACACAAAGACATAATCAGACAAATAATTAAGCAGTAATACAAAAACTGTTAAGATATTCGTTGTTATATAATAGTAGGCATGAGTTAATAAACAATTGCTTGTTATGTGATTTCACTTTGAGAACAATGCATTAACTTCAGAGACGTCTCAGTACCTATTCAAGTTACAGCCTAATATAACATTGATAAGATTACGTAACACATTTATAATTAAAAATACCATTTGTAAAATAATAACAAAGTGTAAAGTGTAAGCTCTACTCATTGGATATTTATTTATATCATAGCAGTAAACATTTGATATAATGCAGACATTATAATCAACTCACATTAAATTACTCATTGATAATTACTCATAATGTTTGATATATATTTAAGGTACTCATAAATTACATCTGAACAAAGTTCACAAAAAGCATTCATATGAAAGATTATAACAACACCTTTCTTGAACAATGACATGTCTAATAACTTATTCTACGTTAAATACGGTACATGTGACGTCATGAACTATAGCTGATTCAGATGTACACTTCAGAGTTAAATAGTGAATACAAGATTTAATACGGTAAATAATAATGGGACCCGCATTCAATGACTGAATACACTATACTAAATTCTGAAAACAGCTATGCGCAAAATGGTTAAATACGGTACGTGCCGTCACTGCCGAGCGCTGGTGATTGCGCCGTTATGTAACAATGAGAGGTGCCGCCTGTGCATGCCGCGCTATGCGGGCCGAGCTTATACAAATCACACAGACTGAATACCTTGTTTGAAACTTGAAATATATATGAATTAAAACTGATTATTAGTGAACATATATTCTATTGTGAATGTTTATGGACCTTATTGGAGATTTCGCTAAAACAGAGAAATTGCTTGTGAACTGTAATTTAGAAATGGATATAA